AATAAATAGAATATTGCAAGAACTTGCAAGAGCGCAAGAAATGAATATTAGATAGGCTGTAATATATATAGGTATCTTAGCTGGTGATAAGAAATGATCAGACGTGATCAATAACATTAATGAAATATTACGTATAATAAACAAGAATCAATAGGATATCAGATTACTATTGGAAAACTCAGCTAGCAACAATTGCTTTGGTGCAACTATTCCTGACCTCATGGATATAGTGAATAGCATAAGTCAAGAGTTAAGATATAAAGATAAGGCAAAACTAAAGAAGCGAATAGGCATATGCTTCGATACGCAGTACTGGTATGTTGCAGGGCAAGGCAAGAGAATCGATGAATATCGAAATATACTAAGGATGTACGAACAAGAAATCATATCAGTACATATAAAAAACAGCCTGCCGGAAGTAATATTTGGCAGAGGAATGAATAAACACGAGCACCTATTAGATTTACAAGCAAGTATACCACAAGAAGTATACCAAATGATTATACAGCATAAAGAGGTCTATGCTGCAGTAGTAGAGACACCGTCAAATGAAATAGCTAATCAAAAAGCACAAATACATGAAATCTCTAAATTAAGAGAATGGGCAGGAGATATACTTCAAGAAGAATGGTCTAAAAAGAAAGATCAAGAATTAAAAGAAAATCGATCTTTCTATGAAGGACCAGGATCATCAGGAATGACAATTCCATTGGGAATGGAATTTGATGACCCAGAAATAATATTACTCGCAGAACAAATACAATGAATGACAGTTGCAGCAGAACATGAAGGACCGCAAAATAAACAAGAAAAGAAATTAAATCAATTATACATAGAAGCAGCACAAAGAGAAATAGATCAATTAGAGATCAAGTAATAAAAACAGACAATACAAAAAAAGACAAAAAAGAGAAAGCTAAAAGCTTAAATATTACCTTTAATCAATCAGGAAGCAAGGTCAAATCACCCAAAATAGAAACATTCATAAAGACACAATTATCACAACTAGGTTAGATACTTCAACAAGAAAAAGAACAAGAAGATCCAAGAATCCGAGCAGGATTACGATAATTAAAACAAAGACTAAACAGTATGAAAACAAATTATAAATATGTTTCCCAATTAATGAAGCAACAAACTGATAAACACATACAAAAAATCAAAAGTGTCACAAATAAGAAAATCTACGAAGCAGAAACTGCAGAAAATAAGAAAACTTATCTATATAAAGTAATATCTGTATTAACAGAAACAAAAGATGCTATTCTCTGGAAGAATAGAAATCTAGTAAAAGATATAGAAGAAGACTACGAATATGCAACAAATACTGCATTAAACTTAGACAGAAAAGACTTTGAAGAAATGCAAGAATGGGAACAATGAATCTTAATAGAAAGATTCGCCAGACAAATAGAACAATGTGAAAGTGAACCATTATAAGAACAATACCAAGCAAAATATAAAGAACTATTAGGAGTATCTCTAGAAAATTTAGAACAAATACATGATGTAGAAGATGAAGAAGAACGAATGTTTCAAGAACAACAAAAAGCTAGAAGACAAGGCTTAGAGTTACCAGAAATATTACTACCAAAAAATCCATATCATGAAGAATATAAACCAACAGTAAATAAACCAAGAGAAGTAAACCAATTAGCAAATAACTGATTATTAAACCAAAACCCAATTTTTAATGAAAGAACAGCAGAATAGGTAAATGAACAAGACAGAGACAACTACTCAACATTACAGACTTGGACAAGACCAAACTTACCAATATCACCAACCTTCTTTACAAAAATGAAAGAAGTGGTAAAAGACACATTGAGTGCAGCACAACAAATATTTAGTAGAAGAGGATCAATGCAATCAAAACAATCGTCACAACCCAAAGAACATAAATCATCACCACTAGTACAAGAAGTATGACCATCTGATATAATATCAGAATCAAGCAGTTTTTATGCACCAATAAGCAATAACTAACCAGTATCATCAGCAAAATTTTTAAGCAGATATATATCGATATATAGCAGTTAATCGATATATATCGATTAACTGTTATATATCGATATATATCACTAACGATAAATAATGATTATTGATATATAACGATTATAATTACTATTGATTAATAACGATTTTATAAAATTCAACCAATTTTTTTAAACTTTAACATTAATTTTCTCGATAACTATCGATCCAAATCAGCTCAAA